ATTATTAGGTGGTTTACAACCAACTACACTTTCTATTTGCGCTTCAGTCAAAGCCATTTTCTTATTAAAAACTACATTTCCCAGCAGAGGTCATTAAAGCTGTCTTTTACAATGCCTGAATAAAATTGTTATCAAAGTCGTTTTTAAATCCTATTCTAACATATGTGGCATAATATGTCCTGGTAGAGCTATTTGTGTTTGACTGTTAATTATAGGTTACATTTTTAAACATGTAGTTACAGCTAATGTTATTGTTTATTTTTAGTTAAAGGCACTTGTTAGTCACGGCCGTCATGATGCGGAAGAGACCCGAGGATGTGATTAACATCAAACAGAACCAGCTGATCAACTTGGAACCGTAGTTGTTTATTTGTTTGTGTTTTTACAGAAAAGAAAAGGTTAGTTTGTTAATAAAGGACAGTTCGGTTTGACTGAGCAGCAACATGTCGTCAGAGGAGCTGGAGAAGCTGCATGAAATCTACAGATGTCTGTATGAAGAGCTGAAGCTCATCCCTCACAGAGCTCTGACATGTCACGGAGGTAAACACTGCTTTACCAGGGTTTAAAACTGTTTATTATTATTATAATCTGTGTTAAGCCAGCAGACAGAGTGTAAAAACAGATTATTATAATCTGTGTTAAGCCAGCAGACAGAGTGTAAAAACAGATTATTATAATCTGTGTTAAGCCAGCAGACAGAATGTAAAAACAGATTATTATAATCTGTGTTAAGCCAGCAGACAGAGTGTAAAAACAGATTATAATCTGTGAAGCTGTCTCCTGCAGAGGACAGGAGGAGGTTGGTGAGGACCTTTGATGAGAGGCGGGGAGAAGCTGAGGAAGTGGTAAGAGATGTTCAACATACAACTAGTTTAATTACAAATGTTTAATATGTAAATTATATATGTTTGTTGTTGTTGTTGTTGTTGTTGTTGTTGTTGTTGTTGTTGTTGTTGTTGTTGTTGTTGTTGTTATAACATATTATTATATATAATTACAGAGTTAGTTATAATTACAGAGACTTAATAATTTTTTCTTTATAAAGTATTTTAAATTGATTTAAATTAGAACATTTTTTCAAATCATCCAAACTGTTCCATAATTTTACCACATGAACTGAAATATACATTTTCTTTAAAGTAGTACGCACAGTTTTACTTTTAAAATCATATTTTCTTCAGTTATTTCTGTTATTTATGAACTGATCTTCCAGCTGTTTATTTTTCATATATTTACTTTTAGTACTTTTTGTTGTCCAACATGTTAAAGATATGTTGCTGCCCTCAAATTCAAAATGACCTCTTTTCTTTCTTACAAACTGTACAATTCATCATTTAATAAATTAAATCAATAAAGGAAACAATAATGTAAACATCTCATAAAAGTTTAACAGATTTCCATAAAAACTAATTGTCTTATGAACAACGGAGCAGCTGTTCTGGTCTGAARTAAACCAGTGTGTGAAGATACTTCAGATAAATAAAACCTGTTATTTCAACACTTTTGGACCAAAGAGGAATTTAAAATAAATTTATTCTGTTTCTTTGTGCATCATAAGACAAGCTGAAACTCTCTTACATAAAGATGGATTTGGCTCTTTGATCTCCTTGTTAATCCGTTAACGGTCACCCATAAAGTTTCTTAAATTCCTTTTGACATTTTTAATTTTTGTAAGTGTGTCAAACTAAAGGTAAGAACTCCAGGAAGTTGTCTGACACCCTAGTTTTCAAAATAAAAGCCCCTGAAACGGTTAAAGGCAGGACCTGCACCGAGCCAGTGATGGGTCAGACAGAAGCTCTTTAACAAACATTAACCAGTGAAATTACTTTAAAAAGTACCACGGAGTACAGGTTTAATGTTGAACAGGTTTAATGTTGAACAGGTTTAATGTTGAACAGATGACTTCAGAAGATATCAGATTTATTAAATAATCTAACAATGTTAATCCAGACAGCAGTCAGATAAACTGATGTTTCTCTTCCAGTCGTCTCAACAAGTTCTTTAACTTATTTCATCATCATCATCCTCCTCCTCCTGCTCCTCCTCCTGCTTCTCCTGCTCCTCCTCCTCCTCCTCCTGCTCCTCCTCCTGCTTCTCCTGCTCCTCCTCCTCCTCCTCCTGCTCCTCCTCCTGCTCCTCCTCCCTCTGCTTCACTC